GCCCTGTTTGCCAGTTCGATCTCCAGTTGTGGGAGAAGTCAAGATTGGATCTTGACATCAGTTCTTTGAGAAAGGATTGAAAGGAAGCTGTGCTCACGTACCATCTTGCTGATTCTTGCGAATGACAGAGTTCTTAGAGAAGAACACTACTGATTCTGCTCCACCTGCACTGCGCCATYTTCAGTGGGAGCAGTCTTTGGATTTCCTTGGGCGTGAACACCTTCGTTGGGAGATTCTACTTCTCCATATCAGGTATAATTCTCACCTACTCCTTTTGGTTTAGATCTGGTTCAATTTAAGGTTCACGAATGATCATTGAAAATATGATTTTCTAAATAGGGAATATGATTTTCTAAATAGGGAATATGATTCCCAATTGAAGGGAGAGAAAAATTTTTGAAATTCACCCCTTATTCCGCAATCTTTGGACGTCCATGGGATGGATCTCTCATCCCTTCAGATCATCCAATCTGTCCAAATTGATTTTGATTTGGAGGGGAGTCCAACCCAAAACTGGTCCATGGACACCCCTACTCCGATGCGACCTTAATCTTTGCCCCACCTCTCCCAAGAGGCATCCCTAGTGATGGTGAAGGACCCACCAGCCTAAGATTCCCAGGTGTATTTCATCATCATTGTGCTTTATTGTAACAATAACCTCTTTAATTGTTCTCAAACAATTTTAGTCTTAGGAGAGAAAGTATCTTTAATGTTGGTTTGCCACTAATTGTAATAGCCTATACCAAATTATCACTTAAGGCTTAAAATTAGAGAATACTTGGGTGGAGTTTGATAACTCTTTTCAGATGTCAGACGTCTGAAAAACTTGCTTTTCAAACATCATATGTGTTTGGATGTGTGTTTGAATTTGAAACGAACTATTAGATTTGAATAGGTAAGATGCAAGCCAAGTATTGAAAGTCCAACACAACCTTATTTATTTTTAAAATGACTCGTTATGCCCCTCTTTTAACTCAAAGATCAATCCATTCAAACTCTTCAGCTGGAACGGGAAAGGAGATCCACCACCATCGATCTCCTTTTTGAAATTTTTTGCCATTGTTCATTTTCTCCACTCGACATAGCGACAAGCTTCTCCCTCCGGCTCTCTCTTTCTCTCTCTTCTTTCTTTCTTTCTTTCTTCTTCTTCTTCTTCACATCATCGCTGTTGCAACTTCTAGCCACTCGTTCTTTCTCTCTTCCCTTTGTTTCTCTTTTCTTCCCACAACAAGAAAAAAGATCAAAGTCGACGATCTTATGACCGCCAGCTTAGGTCTAAGGCGGCGGTCATGCATCCACCCCCTAAAAAGCTGCTGCCTTAGGTCAGGACCACCGGCTTAAGTTAACATGACCGCCGCTTTTGATGACTGGGCAAAGGCAGTTCAAGTTGATCTAAGGCGGCAGTTTGGACCGCTGGCTTAGGTCCTAAAAGACCGCCGCCTTAGCTATTTTCAAACATCTTTGCCACCTTTAGGTGGCGGTTCAAACCGCCGGGTTAGATTTTATATGACCGCCGGCTTAGGTGTTTTTTTTTATATTTTTATATCAGATTTATTCTGATTTTTTTTTGCACTAGCACTTTTACTAATTCATCACTTTAATACCTGCTTAGTGAAAATCTCATGATAATTAAAAATACCTTAAATAAAAATGTAATTTGAAACAATATTAATGTATTAAATTTAAAAAACTAGTTATTATTATTATTTCCAAAAGAATTATTCAGATACAATATCCAATTGACATAAAAAATACCAAGGACTTAAAAAAAATCAATTTGTCAAATAATATAACACATCTTCCTTTCTTTCCACTTCTATCATAATTTAAGATATCTAATAATCTTTGTTCTTTATTCGCTTGATTGACAAGCTCTGCTCAGAGCTTTAAATACAGTACTGCATAAATTATAACCTGAACCAAAATGCCCAATAGATTGCATCAGATCTACATAGCTTCAATAAATAAACAAAGGAACTATATGAAACCTGTTGCATCAGAAAAATACCTGCTCATTTCCAATCTGGAAGTGTTTGCTAACAGAATTATCCTTGGAATTAAGACAATAAAGTCTTGAAACAAATCTAAATATAGAAAAACTGCAAATATAAAATAGTTCATTCAACTAATGAAAAATAAAAGCTTATTATAACTTTCAAAACATGAAACACACAACTGCATGCAAGAGTCCTAGAGTCCCATTCAAATCAGGTCAACCTATACTTGCGGATCAATACCTTTATACATAAAGCTTCCCATTTCGACCCAAACTTCCAAAGCCACTTTCCCAAAATAGCTTTACTCAACCCTAATTCTTCTAAACACTATCGAATCTTACCTTCTCTTTTATTTGACATTACAGAATTGAACCTTTTCTAGTCGTATCATCCATGGAGGCTAGAACTTTAAGCAGAGATAGGTAATGGTGGACATTATTGTCAATACATTCTTTATAACAGTAGCTTTGATACCAAGGAAAGATGCTTGCACTTCCAACCAGCTCTTTCCAAACTTACTGATAAAGGTTGCCATGTAGAAACTAAATAAGCTTTAGCACCAATTGGGAGGCCAAGAAACATCCAAGAGTCACAGCCCCAACTACATGGGACCGGCTATATGAATCCTATTCCATCTTTCTACTCTATTCAGTACAATATCCATTGCTAAATTCTGGGCCGTTAAACCATTTCCTACCATTTCCTACTACTTCAAACCTTGTCCTCTTTGGTCTGCCTTTGCCCTTCTAGAATCATAAACTTGTAATAGATCATTCTTCTACTCATGCTGTATATGGAGTCATCTAGACATGACCAAACCATCTTGTCCTATGTTTCCTCATTTTATCACCTATTGAAGCTACTCTTAGGCTCCTTTAAATAAGTTTATTCTGATTCTGTCCTTTCTAGTTCATTAAGAAACAATGAAGGATTTTTTATTTACAGCTTTTCATTAAATGCCTAAAATTATAGCCAAATGGGAGATAATAAATAGCAACTTGTCCCTTTCCCTGAAAGAAGAGCAATGCAACTATAAAAAAATGCCATCAAACTCTTAGAACCAAACAAGGTATGGCAATAAACCATTGGCAACAAGCTGAAATATAACAGATGATTAAAGAAATTATTTGCTTGCCTTAATTGTAGCATAAAGATCACCGGGTTGATTGCCTACAGGATCTGATCCACCACTTCTATATACTTTCATGGTTTCGTTATCATCAACTCTTATAAACAACAATGAACCAAAAGACATCAAACATTGTTAATGCTTATTTCACCCCCCCCCCTTCCTGTTCCATTAATTATATGGAAAATCATAAATGCCTTCTTCCTGTTTAAACTTTGAAGGACATGTAAAGAGCTTGAAGTTGAGATGTTTTCTTAGAAATAATTGGTCCACATCACTTGGTGCCTCATTAAATATACATATTCACTAATCTAAGAACTTTTAGTATAGAAGTAGATAAGAAACCACAACAAACATCTAGTTTCACATAACAATGCAAGAGTATAAACCAAAGAGTAAAATAACTTCATTGATTTGAACCTTATTCTAACAAAAACTTTGTGCAGCATGCAGATCTTTATAGATATTCTTACATTTTAGCCAGCCCAAAAAAGGAAAAAGAAAAAGTAGCTATTAACTTAAAATAAAATCTTAGTTACATAAGCATAGAAAATAAGAAATTGGGAAGTCTTAGTATATCCAATACTTACAGAGCCCATACTGAGGATCAAGCTTTGCTAAATTAGCATATCCAATACTCTGCAAGAAATTGGGAAGTCTTAGTATTGATGAAACAACAATAGAAAATAGAACAGTAGTAGCAAAAGAGAAAATAGAATTCTGTTATCATTATGGTATTGAATCATCCCAACAAAACTTGCTCTCCCTACTCTAACTAAGCTGCTGAGAAGTATGTAATTTATTAAAGAGTTCAAATCCAATGATCATGATTTTGAAACCATACCAAGGAGGAAATTCTAAAAGCAACCACAGATAAAAATGAGAAAGCACAGAGCATATACCTCAATTGCACTCAAATTCAACAAAACCAAAATAGAAATATTGGAATTCCAGAATTTTCATGTTTATCTTATCTTTTTAATTGCCTATGATTTCTTGCCATCTCTCTTTATTTTGTACCAGAATTATATATATATATATATATATATAGATAGATAGATAGAGAGAGAGAGAGAGAGAGGGAGAACTTAGCTTGAAACTGTAAAGAAACATTGGCATTCCAGAAATTCCAATAAAGTTTTAAACCTTGGAACACCCTTTCTTGACAGCCAGCCTGTGTGTATAGAGACTGAGACAAATTTTCAATAGCTACAAAGTCGGAATGGAATATACCTGCTGATAAAATGATGTGAAGTGCTGCCCAAGTTCAACTGCAAAATCTTCCACAGAAAGAACTTCCATGCTCCTTTGCTTTGACATATACCTGCATATTGATCCAATTTAATTAAGATAACTTTCATGAATTCTTTCCATATATTTGTCATAAACTTCTAATACTTTGCTGATTGGGGAATGACATTCTAAGCAACAAACAACAACGTGCCACCAATTGTGTGTACTTGAAAATAAGTTTCATTTAGTTGTCTCAAACTATGATGGTAAATGGAACTAACAATGGAATTTTTTACAATCTCTTTTTTTTATGAAAATAAGTTTCATAAGTTTCCATGGATTCCACTGCTTCCTTGAAACAACCTTCATATTGATAAATGTGGCATAACGTACGCATAGAAATCCACAAAATCTGTAGAAGCCACAAGGACAAAGAACTAATATGGTCCTCAATACAGTACAAGGAGAATCCTCTAATCCCAATCAATAAATTTACCACTGAAGTCCAATAGTCTATTCATAACTAAAGTGATAATAAGGACAAAATGTGCTTAGACAATCATATCATGTTGGGATCATCAAGGACTTAGTTATCAAATGGAATAAAAAATTGAAAAAAAAAGTTTGCATCAGGTACCTTGATCTAGACAAATTGTTAATTAAGCGCATATCAACTGAAGAAAATGAAAGCAAAAAGCACGGACATAATGTGTTAAGAATCACACATTTGTTTGCTAAACTTGGCTCAATACTGAAAATAACTCATGGTTCTTGCAAAACCATGAATGGTGATATAGATAAAGTCATGGAAGACCATGGTAACATATTTTATCCTTGCTGTTCCAGTCTCAAAGAACCAATTGACAGACATCTTGGTCTTGACAAATAAAACAAGAAAAGTGATCACAGAGGATTTGGTTTTCTTGTGGGGATTCAGGGCTGGGATGACTGTTGGAGTGTTGAAGAAGATCCTCCATGCATCTCATGATGTTTTCTCTGAAGATTTTGAGGTCAAGTTAGTTGATAAGAGCTGTGTTGTTGTAGTTTTCTAGACACCTGGTTTGGCTGAGGTGTTACTCAAGGTAATCAGTTCAGGGGGAGTTGGTTCTAGTGCTTTGATGGATATGATTTCAGAAGGACTAAGAGCAGCTGGTTATGAGGCTTACAAGAGAGTCTGCAGGATGCGTTTATGGGAGTTGCATTTAGYTGACTCATTAGACAAGGCATTGTCAGATGAGTACCCTCATGATTTCAGAAGGACTAAGAGCAGCTGGTTATGAGGCTTACAAGAGAGTCTGCAGGATGCGTTTATGGGAGTTGCATTTAGYTGACTCATTAGACAAGGCATTGTCAGATGAGTACCCTCATGATTTCAGAAGGACTAAGAGCAGCTGGTTATGAGGCTTACAAGAGAGTCTGCAGGATGCGTTTATGGGAGTTGCATTTAGCTGACTCATTAGACAAGGCATTGTCAGATGAGTACCCTCATGACTGGGTAGCTAAGTCCAGATCAGAACCCCAGGGGATATGCTGGAATAATGAGTTTATCATTAAATTGGATGATCTGTGAGAAGCTGTTGATTTTCAATATTTTTAAAGCTTATCAGATATGATGCAAGGGTTCATTGGCGACATGCCCGAAAATCATTCATTGCTTATGTTCATTTGAGCCGTCATGCCCGAAAATCGTTCATTGCTTATGTTCATTTGAGAGTAATCAGGTGCTCTCTGTTTTGTCCAAGGTTGAATCGTTGCAATGACAACCCATACTGTTGTAGTTTTTGGCCAAAAAATGTAAGCAATCAGAAAATTAGTAATTCTTGAGGCCAATGAAGAGGTTGGGTTTGTTGTGGAACTTCATATACATACCCAATTATCAAAAAGAAAAATTGATGAACTCAACTCCAAGCAATAAGATAAGGTGCATCTTGTGGAAGTGCAAAATACAAAAAATGGTTGCAGATAATCAGAACAATGTCAAACAAAACTTAATGATATAGCACAAAATTAAAAGAAGCAAACAAAGGAAAAGAAAAATAAAAGAAAAATAAACAATGATGTTTCCCTTGCAATCATATCTCTGAGTGCCTTAAATGACGGATTGCCAATTTGAACTGGGACAATGGGAGGCCATTGGGTGGTTTGAAAACTCTCAGTCTCAAAAGAATTAAATCCCCCAAAAAATACAGGCAATTCACCTAAACTTAAGATCGAACAGATGAGGGGTGATCCATTGAGCTTTTCAACTTCTGTTTTTCATTTTTCTTTTTTTGGACATTGTTATGTTATGGGTTGAATGATTGAACCACCGGTTAACCATCAAACAAACAAGGTTTCTGGGAACAGATTCGTGAATAGTAAAAAGAAAACAAAACAAAAAGATCGTGAATAGTAAAACAATTGCCACACTAAAACAAAACAAAACAACCACCGGTTAACCACGATAATGAAAAACAAAGAACCATCAACAAAAAACAATGAAACAAATCTAACAAACTTACCGTTGAGAATGGAACCACGATAGTGAAGTTCTAGGCTCAGATTTGAGTATGTTTGTGATGAGAAAAGTTGAGATCGAAATAAGAATAAGAATAAGATTTATTCTGACGAGGGAAGCAACCTGGAAGTGAAAAAAAATCAAATTCGAAGGCAGACCTCTATCAAACTCTCGAACCTTCAAACTCTCAAACTCTGAAACTCTCGAAGAGGGCTCAGAACCAGTCTCCTCTTTGGGACTCTTGAAGTGACAACGAGATTTTCTTCCCAACTTTCTTGCTCTGAATCGCCCATAAAATAGCAAAAACCTAGATTTTCTTGCTCGTGAAGAATAACTTGTAGGCGGGAGAAAAAATTTTTTGGTCGAACAGGAAGGGGAATTCGCGCGCGGGAGAATGAAAATTTTTCCTCCCTGCCGACTTGCGTTTCTCCACACTGGTCCATTATAAGGTTAAACCGGTTTAATTCCGGTTCCCATAAAAATCCGTCGAATGTACGTTAATGACCGCCGCGCCAGTTTTTAAAACGAATGTAGGCGGCGGTCTTTGAAAGTCCACTGCCTATCCCTATAGTGGCGGTCACAAAGACCGCCGGCTTTGACCATTTTTCTTGAAATATCCCTTCATCACTCCCCTTGTTCCCATCGCCCCTTTGTCGTCACCGCTACTATTCCACCACTACAACTATCTGGTTTCATCTTGGACCTTTTACCAACTGGTTAGATGCTATGATATGGTTCAATCATCCTTGAGAAACTCAATGGAGTCTAGGCCCTTTGTGAAGAAAGTCCAAAACCTCAGTTGATCAACCAATACATCAATCTAGTGTTTTATTCTTGTCCATCATCAATGATTCACACCATCTCCAAACCTGCACCACAATAGCATTTCGAGTAAATTTCTTTACTAAATTTCCGGTATAAAACCAATCGATAGTCAGCGGTGATTGATGTCAGAGACAATGCTGAAACTCCCTACGAGGCTATCCTCTACAAGATCGTTGAACGGCAACAACTTAATTGCCGTTTATGCTATTTCAGTATATAATTTAAGTGGTTATTTGTTATTTCCCAAAGAATGGATGGAGTTCTAGTTGACTAGCGGTTGTTAATGGATGAATTGCAGAATACTTATAGGTGTAAAATAGTAAAATCAAAGAATCTTAGATGTTGAAGGATTGATCCAGCACAAATAGCCTTACCTATTCAGAGCCTCTAAAAGTAGAAAAGCACCATTAAACACAAATAATATTTTTTTTAACTTTTTATATTTTAAATTTATCAAATGCCACCTTAGGTTGCATTTGGCATTCATTATTTTAAGGACTTATCTCTTTTTTTATAGTTAACAACTCAGTGTTCATAGGGGCATTTTAACCACAAAAAGGAGATAAGTCCTTAAAATAACGAATGTCAAATGCAGCCTTAGAAACATATAATTCTTTTCTAATAAGATTATAACCATTCTAAAATTTAAGAGAAGCTTAATAATCATTGCCTCTAAGGTGGCGTTTGATAATGCTTTTAAGAGGTTTGAAATTTGAAAACATTTCTTTTCAGACACCAAAAGTGTTTGGGTATGTGTCTGAAAGTTGATACGAAATTGCATTTTAGATCTGAAATGTTTAAACTGTGGGACAAAAGTTTAAAATGACCCTAATAATATTCGAATAGACAATGCATGTCCCTTTTTAAACCCAAATTTCTTCTCATTCAAGCTCTTGAATGACAAAGGGACTTTTCACACTATCCAATCATCACATTGCCTGGCCGATGAATGCCTAACCATCAGTGACATAATGGACAAGTCTCCAAACAATCTAGGTTTCCATTCTCCTGGCTATCTATATTCCAGCGATCAACGACCGTTAGGTGATCTATATTCCGTTCTCCTGGTGACCATTGGTGACTCATTTCTTAGTACATTTTTGTTGACCCAACAACTGTGACAGCAAAGAGAGAGAGAGAGAGAAATGGAGATTTTTGCTCTTAGTTAATCACCAGAAAACCATTTGATTGCTGGAATAGATTTTTTAAGTGGACATTGTGTTTTCTACTCCTTAGGGTTTTGGCAGGGTTTTACTTCTTCTGGTGGGGGTTGATGGCTTCGATTGGTTTGCAGTTGAGTTTATATCCCATGCAAATGAAAGAGGGAAATCAATCTACACTTCTTCCGTGATGAGCTGCTTGTGGTCTCTCTCCCTTGTCTTCTCGCCACCGCTGCTACAATTCTTAGCAATGGCAGTTAACACCCTCTCCCTTGTCTTCTTATACATACTTTCCAATTTTATTCTTATTTTAATAAATATTTTTTTTTTATTTTTATAATTAATTTGTATTTAATAGTTTTAAGATATTAATAAATAATTATTCTTTATTTTTTATTAATTTGTATTAATTATTAAATATTTTAATAGTTTTAAGTTATTAATTTGCTAATTATTAAATATTTTTTCATTGCTTCATGGACTTTATTACTATTTTCATTATTATTTTAACTTCAATAATTTATTTTTAATTTATAACTTTATATGTATTTTCAATTTTATTCTTATTTTTATAAATTATTTTTTTTATTTTTATAATTTATTCATATTTTTCAATATTATTTTGAATTTAATAAATTATTTTTATTAAATAGTACAAATTGAACTCAAAATTACCAAATAGTCTATTTTAGGGGTAATATAATCAAATTAGGGAATTTCAGATGTTGAAGGTTTGATCCAACACAAACAACCTTCTCTATTTAGAACCTCTACAAAGTCGAAAAGCATCTATGTCTCTTTTTAGATTTCAAACACTTTTAATATCTTTTTAATTTTTTAGATTTTAGATTTATCAAATGCCACCTAAGCCTTTTGAAAATTGTGAAGCTACTAAACATTTATAGCTTAGTTCCTTTTGCAAAACTTATGGGATTCTGAAAAGTTGCTTTTGCAAAAGCATTTCAAAACTTAGGTAGTGTTTGATAAATCTGAAATCTAAAAAGTTAAAAAGATATTAAAAGTGTTTGAAATCTGAAAAGAGCTATGATGCTTTTTACTTTTTAGATGCTCTGAATAGATAAGGTTGTTTGTGTTGGATTAACCCTTCAATATTTGAAGTTTTCTAATTTTACTATTTTGTCCCCATAACATACTATTTGATAGTTTTGGGTTCAATATGCATTATTTCATATCAAATAATTTATGAAATTTAAAATAATATTGAAATAATACAAATAAAAAATAAAAAATTAATAATTAAAAATAACACAATTAAAATTAAAAAAATTAATGACTAAAAGATATTTACATAATTAATACTTACTAAAAATTAAAATAATTATTAATTAATAAAAAATAATTAATAATTAATAATTTACACATAAAAATTAACTAGTTTCTACAACTAATAACAACATTTTAGCTTTCAACAGGACAATAAAGATCCAATTAGGAAGAAAATGGTATAATGAACTTGTAATTTGAAAAGCAAAAGAGAAAAGAATTGTATGATCTATCTATCAGGTGGGGGTGGGTGTTATGGGTACTTGTGTAACCCCATGAAGACGATGTAATGGAGTTGGTCCATAACCAGACTACTAGATGGGGAAATGGGAAAAAGAAGAGGAGTCGAGATTCAATAAGCAAAGCATGGATGTTTTCAGATTCAATAAACAACCAAGGCATCGTACAAAATGGTTAAGATATTCAATAAATAAACTGTAAATAGGAAAGAAGATACCATCACTAGGCACCTGGTGCAACTATAACCCCTAAAAAAATGAAAATTTTACGGTGAGAAATCCAAAGAAGAAACAACAAACATGTTAGAAAAGTTCTTACGACCATACCTTCTACAATGTTCATGAGCGCAAAGTTCTTTCGCATCTGAAACAAAATGGTCTAGGTTTATTTTTTTTTTTTTGGTTTGGGGGTAAACAGGGGCATCTACGTGTCATTTAGAAAATTCTAGGGGAGTAGTTTTAACCTTTTACTAGCTCTAAAACACATATGAGCGTGTTAAGAGCCAGCCCATGCGATTAAAATTTCAGATATAAAAACGAGATTCAAATTTGTTTTCAAATGCATCACCAAACGTGTCTGATGTCTGCAAAACAAGTTTTCTAGACACCAGACGTCTGAAAAGTGTTATAAAAAACAACCTTAATATCCACAAGTGTTATCATAAATCAAATCATTTATTCAAAATAATTCCACCTATATTCTAAATCCCAATTTTGTGAAAACCTCATTGACATTCTCTTCATGCCAATAAGTAGATTCACTATTGAATCAATCATCCAGAAATCGGGATGTCAAGGTGTGGGGTTTGGTATGGATTTGACTCAGTAGTCAAATTCCGACCCGATGCAACCTCAATCCGAACTCGCCCTGCCCCGACTAAAAGGCGATGGAATATTGAACCCAACCCAACCCATCTCATATATGATACACTTGTATTCAACCAAGGCTATATATATAAATATTCAAACGTTGCAATGCAAACAGGTCAGATTTAACACTGGCCCATCTCAACCCAAACCTGACCAAAGATTTGAGTAAGCCCAACCTGACCCTAACCCGGGAGGGTTGGGTCAGTGTGGGTTTATTAGTTAACACAATCCACTGACATCCCTGTTCCCAAGGACATAGAATGCCAAGTCATTTATTAATATATATATATATATAATATGGGTTTGACTGTGATATGGAAAAGATATGATATCTGAAAAACAACTGACCAATGAATCAGAATCATAAACGTGGTAGGGAAAATGGTGTTATTTATCAAAAATCATGAGTGAGTTTTGATTGGTCAAAATTTTTTTCCATATTATATCTTTTCTGCATCATAGATTTTCCCTATATGGTATTAATATCATCTATAGATATTTCAAAATGATTAAGAGAAAATCAAGATTTTAACAACTTTTTTTGACATTGTCCACATAATAAACGAATGATTAAGAGAAAATCAAGATTTTAACAACTTTTTGGGAAATCTATGATGCCGGAAAGATGTGGTACCGAAAGAATTTTGACCAATCAAGCATGTATATAAAAATTGCATATCATGCAAATTAAAGGGGCATTCTACAACATGAATTGTTTTTTTTGTTACTGGTTCTATAAGTAAATCAAAACGATTTTGTTTGAAAACAAATTGTTTCTTAAAACAAAAACATAAGAAACATGTTGTTGGTTGTGTACATGTTTTCTGTTTTCAAAATTGAAACAAAAAACATGTTCTTAATCTGGTTTCAAAAACATGTTTTCATCTGATTATTCAGCATCATGTTCTACAAATCATCTAATTTCTATACTAAAAGATTTGTTTTCGTTTTAAAAACCAATATTTTCTTGGTTTCAAAAACATGTCTTGTTTTTCAAAACAAATCCAACTTATTTTTCACTTTGAAAACAAAAACAGTTCAAGAACAT